CTAAAAACAAGGCCAGCGTACACCTGGCGGTGTGCCGATCAGCCATGAACTCGCGCAGCGTCCACCGCAGCGCGCTCACAATTACGAAGGATGGTAAATGCTTGACAATAGGCACGTATTGACGTGCGCACACAAGATGCAAAAGCGCGCACTGTGAGTGCTTGCGGCAACCCTGAGTTTGCCCTTCTCTGCATTCGATTGCTGGGGAAGCAGCAGGTGGAGTGTTCCGAGTTATTTCCAGTTTTGCAACGTTAGGTAACGTCCGTCCTCTTAGAGGACGACGGTTGTTTTTTGAGGTATTTCGAAGTTCGGTGTTCGTGGGCAAAAACGGCCCCAGACGTGTAGATCAGTTCAGTGATGCTGCTTCGGAACGCTGTTAGCCTAGGATATTGCAGTTTCTGAGCGCGAGCTTCTTCCACTGTGCAGAATCTGTAGGTTAGTGAGCATCACAAACACGCCAACGTTATCTGTATCCTTGACGTCCGCCACTATGGCTCAATAACCTCTGCCTAGTACTTCTTTTATGTGAACGAGGTGGGGCAGGTGCCCAGCCTTCTCCATCCAGTGCAGGGGCTCCACGTTTGTCAAGAGCGTACTAAATCCAATCAAGGACCCCGACAGACGAACCTTTCGATAATATTCTGGGGACAGTGGACAGTTCGTAAGATTCTCATGCAGATATTGAGTAGTCTCTCAAACTGCCTTTTGCAAGGAACGCTTGACCTCGCTTCGCAAATTGGCAGTGTTATCTCAAATTGACCAAGTATTGACGAACCCCACATGACCATTGGCGAAGCCCACATGCCATAAACGCGTAGTTTGAGACATAGGTAGTAACATCGCTGCCAGTTGTGCACTCCACCTGCACCTCCGCCACAGAGTGGCTAGGCATGCTCTCTGTCTTAGCCCCAGTCAAATGGACAAATATAAACCCTTCCCACTATGCCTCATATTATTTTTTCTGTGAAATTTGCTTGTTTATTTTTCACGGGGTTTATGTAGCCAAATATGGAGGATGATCCAGCAATCGTTGACACGGTGGTGTCGGCGGATTCGGATCCCGGGAAAGGTGATGCCGCTTCGATAGTGGATGTTCAAAAAATTGCCCGTAGTTTGTTGCGAAACGAAGTTGGCGTACAGCGTTTACTTTTAGTGGTTGCGGGTTTAGTGTTGCTAGTTGCAGTACATAGAGGCCTGGCTTCCCGTGCCCTACCGAGACCCATCAGTTCAGCCATGCAAGAAAGTGGTGGCCTACAGGAGAAAGGGCAAGAGCGTGATGATTGGGGGCTATATTCACTGGAATACTTTGAACAAGCACTTCCTACGTCGCTAAAGGAGGGAAAGAAGTCACTAGCTGCGTCGGCCTCTAAGCTTTCTGGCAATCCCAAAAATTTGGCAGCTGAGCCATACCAGCGTGCAGTTGCTCAGGCTCTTTCGAACGGCTCCAGCGACTCCCTGCTTGGAATGACAATTTCCCTACAGAACCCGCAACCCTTAGGTAGGAGCACTACCGAGGGGCCTTTGCCTCAACAGAATCTGCTCGTTACCAGGATATTGGGTTATTACCGCTGGAATTTGTTGGTGAATGCGGAAGACGTTGAGACCAAAGAAGAGTTTTCCGTTAGTATCCCCATCATGAGTAAGAGCAGTGTGGAAGAGTACGCTAAGAATGATCTTGAGCAACAAGTGAAGCTGGCAGTTGAGCAGGAGCAGGAGACAATCCTGCAAGTGTGTGGCAACATTCCAGCGAAATCGATGACCTCACAGAAGGGCATGGCAGTTCCATACTACGTAGGTCAAATGCTAGGTTTGGGTAATATTCATTCGTCTGGGGATTTCAAGATAGTTAATACTGTAGGAGTGATGGAGAAGGTTGTGGGGGATTTAGACAGTCTGGCAGCTGTATCGGGAAAATTGAAGCCAGTTGTGCGGGATTATATCGCCTATCGTTTGTTACAGATAGTGTTGAAACTTGAGCGTTCAGGAGTTGGTCATTTGCAGCTTAGTAGGAAGTCCCTCTTCGTGCGTGAAGACGGCTCTATTGTGTTGGGAAATTTCTGCAGCGCTGTTCCCTTTGGAGAGGAGAAAAGGCGTCTGAGTGGCCAGGTGCAATTAGCGCTAGAGCCTAGTGCTATGACCACTTTTATTGACTCCGATGTACTTGTGGCCGATGCTAAGGTAAACTTGTGGGGCCTCGGGGTTCTTCTATTTCACCTCTACACGGGAGATGCTGATCACCCGTACGCCAAGGTGGAAGGGGCGAGCTTTAGGGATTCACCTGGTGCAAGCTCAAGGCTGCTGTTGAACAGCGGAACATGCTCTAAATTCCTAGTCCCGCAGTTGGAACGGTCGGAAGTCCCACCGAGGTGGAAAGACCTTATTTTACGTCTGCTGGAGCCCAAAAGGGGTAACAGGATAACTGGCTTCCAGACAGTGCGCGAATTTCGTGATCTCACCTACCCCTAATCTGTCGTAAATGGTTAATTCTGCAGGCGCAGCTTTTCAGGGATTTTCCGTGAACATCCCCACCACCAGTAGAACCAGGTTTTCAGGGATGGGAGCAGAGTTATAGCGATGACTGCGGGAGGCCGTTGTGGAGGTAAAGCAGCCATTGCTGCAGGCTTGCAACATTATCCTGCTGAATTTGCAGCTTCCGAAGGGGACATAGCAGTCGCATTGTACACTTGTCAAATATCAGGTCTTAAGGAAAAAAATTGGGTAGGGGATCTTGTCCTCTATTGTACTGCACCATTGATGGAGAAGGTTGTGGTGGACTTGCCTTGGATACGGGTAAAGGGAGGTCGAGCGAAAAGCACGAGATCACATCGTTTTCTGTTTGTTTCAGATAGTGGTTGAAGTCGAGCTTCCAGGGATCGGCCATCTGCAGCCCAGTTTTGAGCCCCATCTCCTGCGTGAAGACGGCGTATCCATATTGGGGGACCTTGGCACAGGCGCTTTGTTTGGACCGAAGAGAAACATGTTGAAGGGTACTCTGTCACTGTACGAAGTGCTGTGTGCTCTGTGACACTTTGATAAAACGTAGTTTCCTGTCTGAAGGTACAGCAAGAAAAGAGAGCATCGGGAATCTTCTCTTTCAGCTTCGCACGGGTAGCGATTACTGCCGACAGCAGCAAGCGGAAATGAGAGCAGGCGCTGAAAGAATGGTTCGTTCTGAGGTTCTGAGGTCGCAGCTGGAAACATTGAAAGGCGGAAGGCGTTGAGCAGAAGCTATTCTTCGCCTGCTGGCCCGCGGCATTCGTGGTTTCCAAATTCTCAAATTTCGCCGACATGCTCAACATTCCTGCATAGTCAGTTGTGAACAGTTGGCTGAGCAGCAACAGCTGTCACGGGCAGGGTATTTGGTAAGGCCATGGATTTTTGTTGGCCAGCGTACACCTGGCGGTGTGCCGATCAGCCATGAACTCGCGCAGCGTCCACCGCAGCGCGCTCACAATTACGAAGGATGGTAAATGCTTGACAATAGGCACGTATTGAC